GATTCTCATATCTACACCTATGTAATACTTGACAAGATTTTCATATCTAAAACTATGTAACACTTAACGAGATTCTCATATCTACAACTATGTAATACTTGACGAGATTCTCATATCTACACCTATGTAATACTTGACAAGATTTTCATATCTAAAACTATGTAACACTTAACGAGATTCTCATATCTACAACTATGTAATACTTGACGAGATTCTCATATCTACACCTATGTAATACTTGACGAGATTTTCATATCTAAAACTATGTAACACTTAACGAGATTCTCATATCTACAACTATGTAACACTTAACGAGATTCTCATATCTATATATCCAACATTTTTTTTTCTAAAATCTATCTATTTTTGCGCACGTTCTTGTTATCTTCTTAGAATAGCACGAATCTTTTGTCTACTTTGATCTTAAGGCTTAAGATATAATGTGACGAAAAGTTTCTTTTTATCGGTTCGTTACTATAACAGGAACTTGTTGTCGACCCGAATTTTTTTATTTATGGACGGATGGAGGTAAACTTCAAATACCTAAGAGTAACATAGTGACTTAACCACGCTAGTTAATCGAAAATCTTACCTTTAGACACAGTTGAACGTATGACAACGCCATCTTCTCGCTTCCAGTATGCAACGGAAACATACTCTCGAACGAAAGAAGGGACGTGACATTTTAATACTGCAACGTTCCCCTTGACTGCAAATTCATCATGAACTTGAACCTTAAAGTGGCGTTGAACAACTGGAAACAAACATGATTACTTTGAATTTATATTTGAGTTCGGAATCTGAGAAAAAAACTAAGAATACTCAACAATTTTACTTTTTTTTAGAATTTTTGCCCAAAACTACACAAGGGCTATCAGTGCACAGTCATACCTAATTTTAAATTGGCAGACTAGACAAAAGGCAGCTAGTCAACAGCACCCACCGCCAACTCTTATCCGACCGAATAATGAAATTTGATAGCCACTCATATAGCACACACACGAATCGGTTTTTTGCGGCAATGGTCATTGAAATCTCGGATTAATACGCCGGACAAGCTGACCAATTAGCAATAACTGACAACACAGAACTTGCTGAATTTGTAGCATGATTTAAGAGGTGCAAACACAAGTTTGTGCACCTACAATACACTCTAAATCTCTGCCAACATAAAATATAAATATTCAATAGCTACAATACTTACCAATAGGGAAGTTTCAAAATTTGAAGTAAGACTTGTTTTCAAAGTTGGAAGCAATACATCTAGAGTTATGAAGCTGTTCAACTGGACTAACGTGAGATCTACTTTACCTTCAGTCGAATTTATCTCAATTTTATGATTTGGATCAAATGTGGAGTACAACAGAACAGAACAGTTTTGGTCACTGTTGAGATATTCTTAAACACGAAAGTCGGGTCAAGTGTAATATACAACAGTAAAGTGTTGGCCAACACTAGCATGTTTTAAACTATGGGTCAAATGTAACATATAACAAAAAGTACCTTGACATAAATTGGGGTCATCCGAAGTATGAGAATCTGATTAAGATCATCATACATTAATACAATCTTTCGTCTAAACTTGGATAGTTCTAAGTATGAGAATCTGATTAAGGTTGTCATATATTAATACAAACTTTGGTCTAAACTTGGATAGTTCTAAGTATGAGAATCTGATTAAGATCATCATACATTAATACAATCTTTGGTCTAAACTTGGATAGTTCTAAGTATGAGAATCTGATTAAGGTAATCGTATATTAATACAAACATTGGTCTAAACTTGGATAGTTCTAAGTATGAGAATCTGATTAAGGTAATCGTATATTAATACAAGCTTTGGTCTAAAATTGGATAGTTCTAAGTATGAGAATCTGATAAAGGTTATCATACATTAATAAAAACTGTGGCATAAACGTGTACATAGCTAAATATAAGACTCGGATAAAGGTTATCATACATTAATAAAAACGTGTATATTTCTAAATATAAGAACTGTGATAAAGGTTATCATACCTAATAAAAACTGTGGCATAAACGTATATATTTCTATATCTATGAGACCTGAATGATATGTGACACAAAACAATGCAGAATGAACCTACGTTAGTTTTTTCCTAATTATGAGACTCGGGTTACGTGTATCATGATAAATCAACAACCCTGGTTTTTACGCGGGTTCTCTTCAGCAAAGGATTCAGATTAAGATTAGCATGCACCAATAAAAACCTTAGCCTATATTGATATTCCACCGAGTATGATCGGATCAAGTGGTCAAGTGTGACAAACCACAGTAAATACCTTGACCTCCAGTGGTGGACCTCTAGATATGAGAATCTGTTCAAGTGTTACATATAACCTTGGAAAAATTCTATGTATAAGAATCTCGTCATCTGTTACATAAAACAGTGTAAACCTTGGTTTCAGCTATAAAAGAGCTAGGTATGGGAATATGGTATAAAGTATTACATACAACAATGTAAACCTTGGTATGAGTTGTAAAAGTTCTCTAAAAGATTTACTTAGACAGCTTTAACATCTTGCCCACATTTCAGAAAAATCTTAACATTATTACGAGACAGAGTTTAAGCAATTGTGAAAAACTATAAGATACTTATGAGAGAGAAAGAGTTTATATAAGGGTGAAAACTATGAGATACTTATGAGAGAGAAAGAGTTTATATAAGGGTGAAAACTATGAGATTCTTATGAAAGAAATAGTTTATATCAGGGTTAAAACTTTGAGATTTTTATGAAAGAAATAGTTTATATCAGGGCTAAAACTATGAGATTTTTATGAGAGAGAGAGTTTATATTAGAGTCAAACTATCAGATTTTTATGAGACGGCGTTTAATATACGATGAAAACTATTAGATTCTTATGAGACACAGTATACCTTTCTGTGAAAATTATAAGATTTTTGTGATACAGTACTTAAGTTACTGTGAAACTATAAAATTTTTGTGAGACGAAATCTAGGTTTCTGTGAAATTATAAGATTTTTATGAGACGGGTTTTATGTTTCTGTGAAATTATCAGATTTTTTTATTAGACGGAGTTTAAGTTACTATGATGATTATCTTAAAATTACTTGCTATATTTCAGAAGCTTGCATAATTAAGTCTAATATTTAAAGTGTTCATTTATGTAGCATTTAAATACCCGTCATTTTATAGACGTCACTGGGATGAAAATGATTTGATGAATTTAAGAGGGAGTTCTCTATTATTCAGATGAGATAAAGGGAGTTCTCTATTATTCAGATGGGATATAGGGAGTTCTCTATTATTCAGATGGGATAGAGGGAGTTCTCTATTATTCAGAAGGATATAGATACTTCTATATTATTCAGATGGGATATAGAGAGTTCTCTATTATTCAGATAGGATAGAGGGAGTTCTATATTATTCAGATGGGATAGAGGGAGTTCTTTATTAATCAGAAGGGATAGAGGGAGTTCTCTATTATTCAGATGGGATAGAGGGAGTTCTTTATTAATCAGAAGGGATAGAGGGAGTTCTCTA